CCTTTATACTAACAATTATTGTTAAAATATTTCCAGGTAATCCAAATAAACAACAAATAATTGCCATTATTCGGCGAAAAAGATTTAAAGGTTCATTCGAGAACATTTTTTAATCTTTTACATTCCGTTTTAATATATTGTTGATCATGTTCATTATTTATAATTAAAAAAAGATAAATCTCTGAAATAAAATTAGTCTATATGTTATTAATGTCTAAATAGAAAAAAAAACCTCATGATAACTTTCAAGAAAGTTCAATTTTCTAATAATAAAAATCATCAAAATCAAAGTTTATAATTGTTAATAATATTAAAAGAACAACAAAAAAAATCTAACAGTAAATGTAGCGAATGCGCGGAGAAAGAAAAAAAGTTCATAGAAGAGCAGAAAACATGATGACCTTTTGATGAAAGCAGTATATTGTATTCTAAGTGGTTATTTTTAGAATGATTCTTTTCGATTGTATTCACTATGATGATAAGAAAACAATATAAGGAATATGTTAACATAGATTGTTAGTAAATCAAAATATAAATCATAATGCATCATAGATTTCTTGCATATATATAGAAATATTACTTATTTGCATTAGAAAATGTATAGCGTATTTTCCCGCATTTTTTTCATGCACAAACTTCGTTCGTATGACAACAGGAAATTAAGATCATGCATATTATACTGTAACAAAAATATATACATTATTAGGAAAAGTGAAATCTCAAGAAAAAAAACAAAGTACACATCAGATTGTAAGATCAATCTAAGATTTCTTAGACAATACAGAAAAAAAAAAGTGAGAAGAAAATGAAAAGTAGAAAAAAAAAAAGCAAAATAAGGAGTTTGTTCAAGGTTAGAATAAAAAAAAAAAAATGCTAGAATAAATTCATAATCTCAATAATTTAGTTAGTAAGAAAAGCATATACTAAACGAAAGAAGAATGATAGTTATGGAATAAGTTTATAATTGTTTTGTTCGTTCGGTCTTTAGTCACAATTGCTCTATCTTTTTTTCTTCTTCTTCATTGAATAAAAAAAGGATTATGATAATAATGATAAATCTAATAACAAATCATTTGACATAGTTAGATTTGTTCTTAGAATAATTTAAATCATTTTAGACATATACGTCTATATGAATTTGTCTTTTAATAGAATGACTTTTGTAGATTTAAAATTTCGTTATTCATTACATCATATCAATAATAGATAAATCTAAATACTATTGATTGAGTTTTCATTGAATATGAGAAATGTTTAAAAATCATTGAAACATTATTCGTACAATCGAAAAGCGACATTTTTACTCAATACTCTTCTTATTCTATTTCATTTAATCTTATCATCTTATAATTTATAGGTTGCATTTTAAAAGTGACTGGGCGGATCGATTGTAGAACTAGAGTGTGTTAGTTTTATAGTCAAAATTATTATGAACAATAAAAAAAACAACATAATTCAGACGATACATATAGAAAAATCAATACTTCGGTACGGAAAAAAATTATTAAATTAAGCATAGAAAAACATAAATTTACATAAATAAAATAGATTCTCGAATGTAAATAAAAATATATCTTGTCTTTGTTCTAAAATATTTTCAAGTAGCATAGTAATTTTCTCTTACATTTTATAGCACATCCATCAATTTACATTCTTTATCTTCTATATAATTGTGTTTTTCAAGTCATCTTTTCTCGTATATAGAATCATGTAAATTATATGAAATACTTTCAATAGCTACGCATAAATGCAGTAAAATGATACAAGGCATATATCTCATATGAATATGTCGAAATGTCATCAAGACGTATCTATTAGGATGACTAGAACTTCGATAAGTCCTACGTTGCATGGCAAAAAAATAGTTGTACTGACGAAGATGAATATAGAAACGATTATGTATTGACATAGAAACTTCTACTATGGTGCATGTATCTAAGCTTGTCTTACCTATAGACATGTGATATCATCATTCAACATTTTTTTGAATAAACTTTTCAAATAAGTAGGCGATCAAGTATATAACAAAAATCATGTCTGAGAAACTAAAGTATGTACCTTACACCCACACTCAAAGTCATGCTTTTAATCTATTTTAACGTTGTCTTGCGTGTATTAGTGTATAAGCTTTTTTTTAATTATAAGAAAGAAAATCCGTAAATTCTTGTCAGATCCTATAAAACTTTAAAATCGCAATAAAACTTAATGGATTTTATTATTTTAATGAAAGTTATGAACAGTGTTTTGTTTTTTGGCTTCAATCTACTGACATATGTTAAAATGAATGAATGTATGAAGGAGTCAAAAATAAACTTTAAACACAAGCAGTTGAATTAACAGATCTCGAAATGGGAAATCTGACCATTTGCCATATAAAATGGATTGTGTGCTACTTTCTTATTTTTGTCATAAAGGATCTCAATTTAACTTACTAAGGAATCTCTCGGAGTGTCGATTTGCTTTTCAACCCAGACGATGTTCATTTAATGAGTCATACAAACTTACACAATCAACTAATCTGATTAAGAGCTTCAATCGTGTATAATTTGAACTCGAAAGTCGATTTTCCATTTAATCAAATAATCTGAAATGTCTGTCGATTAGTACCTAGACACTATACACCTTTCATAACAATACGACTCTTATCAAATAGGTCTCGACAAAAGTGAGCTAAGAATCGATAGTCTCTCAGTAATCTTTTAGAAATATGTCCTCTTTGTTTTAATATATTTGTAATAAATTTTACTTTCTTATTGAATGTTTTCACTCGTGCAAACTTTATTCTTAATTCCTAACCTATACATCTTACAAGAATTCTGCTTCCGATTCCATCTGCGAAATTTCCTACTGACTCCTTACAATCGATTGACAAATGAAAGAGCATATGGCTCATATTTTTTTGACATTTCTTTTACAAGAAAAGCTTATTTTTAATTAAAACTAAAGCTAACAATTTCAAACAAAAACCTTCAATCCTGTAATCACTATACTATTGATACTTACATTTTAGTTACTTATTCAATCTGTACTGAATAGGTAATAAAGAAATTTTGTACGGAAAAAAATAATGATTAATTCTAATATGCAACACATTAATATTTGATAATAATGAAAGGTAAAAAAAAAAAGATAAAAAAGCCGATATTTTTCTTTTCATGTAAAATTAATTAAATATTTGATGACCATTATGAAGAATAGTAGTAATAGAACAACATAGAAATATGTCGAGTAGGTTTTTTTTTTTGTATACGTGACTTCTAATTTCTTTCAAGTGCCTATCGACAATATCAATGCTTACTTCTAATCATAGTTGAATATCATAATTAAATGTCTAATGAAGTATATAAACAATAATAAGTATTAAAATGATAATTGCAAATTTAAAAACTCACAATTAATTATCATTATATTTTAAAGCACTCTTTCATTCAATGTAATATTCTTTTGAGAATCCATATAACGATGCATGTTAAAAATAAATATGTAACAACTAACAATGAAAGATAATAAAACAAAGGAGAATTATATCGAACTGATTTTAATCATTTATATATTTTCTTCAGAGAAGTTTTGTTTTCTTAGCTTTAGTGGAAATTTGAACTAATAATACTCATCTATAGAAAGATAATTAATTAAAATATAAATCAAAAAACGAATAACGATAAATTAAAGTTACTAAAAAACTAGAATATAACAACGATTAATAATTATAGAATTACTTTTTATTGAAATTTAAATAATATCAAAGCATTGAAGAAAAACAAAAATACTCTAATGTAAAACTATTTATACTTCTAATGAAATAATGTTGAAGCTCAACTAAAGATATACTAATCGATGGTAACAAGAAGAGTATGAAACAAGAAACTAATTCTGTTTTGAAACAAGAAAAACAGATTTTCTTTTTCTTCACGGTTTTTTTTCCTTGCCTAACGGTCCTATTTATTAACGTATGGTTGAAAATGACGAACAACACACTTGATAACTCATCACTTGAAAATAATTATAGTTCGTAATTAATATATCAGTTGAAGTTAATATTTAGGACAAAACAAAAACGAGTTTCTTCTATTTTTTTTTCTTTTAATCATCACTTGACAAAACAATAGAATATTAAAAATAATAATATAAATGGAAAGAACATGTTTTTTTTTAAATCTTAACTGTTCTTTGTTGATTTTTGCTAAATGGACTCAAAATATTTTTTTTTGTTTGATTTCATTTTTTTTCATGTATTTTGTTGGCGTTGCCAACCTTGATTGTGTTTGTATGTTTTGATAGAAGAAAAAAAATATAAGAAAAAAAAAAAAGAAAAAAAAAATAGTAACGATGGCAGTATACGATCAATCGCCACTTAATTGTAATACCATTTCTTTACCTTTTCCGGAGTAATAGTAGTAGGTGAAGAAGAGAAACTTATTTTCTTTTTTTTGTTTTTGGCTTACTAATATATAGAAGTTGATTCTGATTTTATTCGTTTGATCGATAAAGAGAACGACTGTTAAGTTTTCTAATCACTCAGGTTATCGAAGAGTAAGTGTCTATCAATAATTTAAACGAATAGAAACCTTATATTATAAAATTACTCGATGATTTCTACTTGAGTAATTTGTTAAATAATAATGAAGTTGTTCGGTTTGTTTCTTTTTTTAGGTTAACATGACCGGAAATCAAATCAATTGATTATTTCTCAAGATATCATCATGTTGTACGCATTAAATCTATTTATTTGAATAATAATAATAATAATAATAATAGAAGATTTCTAAGTCCAAGTGAGACAATCGCAACTATTTTAATCGTATTGTTTTGTTTTTCAATTGGACACAAATACACAAAAAAATTTCATTTCTCACAGATTTCTGCACTTAATATAGATTCTAAATGAATTAAATAATTTTATTTATATATGTGTGTGTGTGTGTTTTTTTCTTAGTAATCCAGTTGAGCAAGATTTAAATTCATTTATTCGTACATCTCGTGTTCAACGATCTCAATCAATGATGGCAGGTTCAGCAAAAACAACGACTGGCTATCCAACATCAACAAATTTTGAAACACAAAGTGACGTCAATTTTAGTACAACATATCCTGTACGATCATTATCACCGGAAGATCTTCAAAAATTAAAATATAAAATTGATCTTGGTTCGAAGGCTTTTTCTTTATTGTTTCTTTATTTTCTTTTTTACTATTAATTAATATTAATTTTATTTATTTTTTTAAGATAAGCAAGTAGCTGAAAAAAAACACCGTCGTGCTCGTGAATGGGAAACCAAAATTGAACGAGAGAAAAAATATGTAAATAGAGATGCGTTTTTCTTTTCTTGCTTATTGTTAATTGATTTAAATGGACGATAGTAACATTTTAAAAGCCTTGACAATATTTTTTGCTGTTCTTTTTTTTTTTTTTTTACTAAAAACAATTTCTAACAGTTAAAAAGCAAAAAACAACAACGTATATAGTTCTTTACTCATTCTTAACTACGTATTGTTATTTAAATAAACATGTTTATATAGGTTCGACATCAACCATTTGGACGACACGATCATACAACTATTATTAGTAAGAGTATCATTTTGTTAATAAAATTATATTCAAAAATAAAAACAAAAAAATATTATTTAACTAGATAAACAAGAATTAGAAGAAATATTAACAAAAGGTCGTGCTCCTTCACCAGTCTTAGATATGCCTCAACAATTACCACTTAATTATCCACAATCAAACATACCTTATGGAAATAATATGCATGGTCCATTCCAACAGCCAACATATAATGATTCTTCTTCTTATACAAACTTTTCAAATACACAAACACAACCTTCATCTCGACAGAGAAACGATTCTGATAATAATAATTATAATTTTCAACGTTTTTATGGACCAGTAAGTCATACTGATTAATAATGCGCATATATTTAACTTGATAATTATTCTAGAATGCAAATGCTAATGAATCTCTAAAACAAGTTTCATCATCATCAAATGGTACTGCTCAACCCATTAAAGGCGATGCACATGATCCATTTCTTTTATTTGGTAAAAAAAGAAAAAAACAAACACAGAAAATCACTTACATTTATTTTTCTCTTTCTAGATCCAAATAAAGAAGGACAAAATGTTTTTAATATTATTCCTCAACAAGATTTATATGATCCATGGGGACGACCAGGTGGTGGTGCTCCATTAATTCATCAACCAACTGGACAAAAATTTACAAGATATTCGGGTAGTTTACAAGATAAATTAGTAAATTATTATTATTATATTTTAATATGATATAAATAGAAATACTTTAAATTTCTATAGAATTCAGTTGGACCATTAGGTTTTTATCGAAGACAATATGTTGATAATATTGATGAACAAAAACGTGATCTGGAATTAGAACAGAGACGTCGACAACAACAGGAAATGGAACATCGATCCAATGTAAATATTTTCTTTCTTTCTCAAGTGCTATTCTTTTCTTAATAGGCTGGTGATACTGCTGAATGGATTTCTCAACTTGAAAGTGGTCGTTATCCATTAAAATTACATTTACCAACAACACAAACAACTCGAGAAGTAATTTTTTTCTTCTTCTTCTTCTGTTTTTTTTGTATTATTATGGAATTAATTATTGAATAGTATATTGGTGCACGTGGTCGATATAGAGATGAAGAAAGTCGTTCATTACATAATGATCTTGTTCGACAAGCTGAAGAACGATATCAAAATCAACAAATAAATCGATATCAAAATAGTCTTGCTGAATTACAAGTATATCATTTTTTTTTTAAATATTTTCAAATAAAATTTAAACATAATTTTCATTTTTTTCTAGCATACTGAAGTACAAAATAGTTGGTGGGGTAGAAGTGGTGGTGGTGCACCAACATTTACAAATCGACGACATAATGTTCAAAATACATTGGAACATCCTCGACAAAAATGGGTATAAAAATATTTTCATTTTTTTTTTTTTTTTTGTTGAATTATTCATATGATCTAATATTTAGACAACAAATCATCTTGGTCAATTAGTAGCAGCTGATGATGAAGGAGCAGGTCAACTAAGATATTCTGATTCTGATTATTATTATCCAAAAGTAAAAGGTTTTTCCAGTCATCGAAATTATTATGAAGTATCTGAAGATAAAAGATCTTAAAACATTAAAATTGTCCTTCTTTTTTTTTCGCAAAATGAATTCTATACAACATTCAATATAATAAAATATATTCTTAATATAAATTTTTACATTCTTCTTTCAATTTTATTATATAAAATATCAAAATCATATTCAACATGAATCATCAATTTTTTATTTGACGTCATTATTAAATTTTTAGAAATATATACGTGCATAAGCATTTGATACTTGAAGAGAATTTATAATAATTAAATTAATGAGCTTGTCTAATTCAATGTTTTTAAATTATACAAAGAAGATCAAGATGTATCTCTAATTTGGCTAACTGTTTTTCATCAATGTCGCTAAGTAGTTTACTAAAAAGCACAGTGCTTGTTATCGTTTCATTAAAAAAAGTTAACTTGACCATGGCAAAAAAAACTATTTAATTCTAATTGATAATAAATGAAGGATAGGGTTTTCAAGTATAAATACAATAATATAGAATATACAGATTGTCTATTTATATATAGACGAGATGTTTTCAGAATCGAGATCATAAATGTCGAGTTTGGTTCATGAGAACGAGTGTTATTGTAAAAGAGAATCGTTCAAAATTTTCATTGATTAATAAAACATTAAGAATTAGTATTTCAAACTATTACTATCGACTATAATAAAAATTTACGGACTTTTACGTACTTTAAAAAATATTATTTAAACTGTCTGCAAAAAGTTAGTCTCGAAAGGCAACGAGGAAATCCTGATTAAATCACCTTATTTTACTCAATAATAAGCTACCATAATCTTACCATTTAAAATTGTTATCTATATACTTCCCACATTCCGCAATTCGTAAAGACTGACAAATCTTTATTTGAGGCGATAATAACAGTTTACAATAGAATTTCTCAATGTTGTACTTATCAATAAAAAAAAAACTTCTCCATCATCGATAAAAAAAAATAATCGCTCGAAATTAAACATGCAGAAACAATTTAAATTTATTATCGTAAAAAATATTAGTGGGATATTCTGTAAAGGATATTAAAATGTCATGTTTTCAAAGTTTATTCAAATAAAGTGAAATTTTTATTGAGGATAAAATTTACATATAAGTTTGACTTCTGTATGACTCAAGCTACTGAATTATGAAAATTTGACAATGAAATATAATTATTTCAGGGTAGTATCTTTTGATAGGCTAATAGTTTATATTTTTATAACAGGTAAAAATAACAGAATCAGAAAGTGAATATTCTCTTCATTCACAATATGTTTTTTGATTGTTTTCAATTATTTCTGACTTTCTATACAAAGACATGTGAATTCACTAAAAATGTAATGTCAACGCAACTTTTCATGTCTTTTACACACAAAAACTATCGGATAAAAATAGTAAAGTATACAGATTTTGTTTTTTGATGATGTACACACAAGTGAATATAATTGTTTAAAACTATCTTGATAGAGTTATTGCTGTAATGAATACATTAAGCTAATAGATAGCTAGTCATCCGATTATTTAAATATGTGAAATATCTCTTAATCTTAATAATTGTTTTCAAATAAAGATTTCAATTACTTATTCTAAATACCACTAGTGTTGATTACTTTTATATCTGTTTGTTGTTTAAGACCATATTGATAGATACGATAGATACATTCCAACAGAATGGAGAAGTTTGTTTAATAGCATTAAGAAAGCATAAGATTAACATCGCATAGATGACATCGAACTATTTTAATACTTGTGAAAACAACAGAGTAAATGTTCTGCTTTTATTTATTGATTAAATGAAGCCTCCGAAACGTTTCTATAATGAAAATTTTCATGAAAAAAAGAGAATAAAATCGATTAAAATGGCATTATTTCACTCTGATTCAGAACTAATTTTCTATCTTGAAAAAGATATATCTATTGATTTTAGTCGTTTTTGATCGATTGAAACATATCCTTAAAATTAAAAAAGTTGGATTTTTATCGTATTCAATCAGTATCATTTTAATTGGCTTTTTAATTAGCAAACAATCAATTAAGATCAAACTTTTTCTTTTTTCATCTTTTGCATAATCTTCCTTGAAAAAAGAAATAAAGTTCAGGCTCGATGGCCTATTTCAAGGCGTGAGATGCGCATACACATCATCAAATAAAATCAAATAATCTTTATAGTCTATTTTAAAAGAAGAATCGAATACAAACGTTAAAATCTAAAAATATTTACATTCGTCTTGTAGTATATTATTCAAAATATGATCATACCATACTGAATTAAGACTTGTAAGCATTTAGTAATTATATTCGTTATCACTGAATGAAACAAATTGTTTACTATATTAATTCATGATTTGATTTATTAACGACGAATAACTTAAGAGAAAAATATTCGAGTTCAAGTTTTAGTTCTGACTTAATGATTAATAAGTAAAATTAATGATGAAAAATAGAAAATTTTTTTTTCTCGTAAGCAAGACCAAAACAAAACATACAATCCTATTCAAAATTGTGATACAAATAGATTTAATGTGGTTAAAAAAAAACATATTATTCTTATTTATTTTATTGTCAAATACTAATATCATTTTAAGTTTTTCTAGATTAACTAGGCGCTAGATGTAAATGAAATCTCATGTCTTATGTAAAATGCTTGGTTTTCAGTATTGTAGTAAAGCAATAGTCACAATTAGTTGAATTATCAATTTCAAAAAAATAAAATAAAATTTTGAAGGCTAAATTTTTCTCTTTAGAAGATTTTATTTAAAAAAAAATAGTCTTATTCTATAGATAGTTTCATTTCTTAATCACAGTCTAATATCATATGTTCATCTGGATGTTCTAACCAATGAAGAATTGAAGAAAGTTCATCTTCTAATATTTCATTAGATTTTTTTTCAATAATTTCATCATTTGAAATCGATAATAGTTGACGTGCTTTTTCTTTAATTTCATTTGAACAACCATCATTAACAAGAAACTCAAGTATATTATCTAATTTGTTATTTTTATTTCCAATAAATTCAATTAAATAAAGACATTGAATTTCAGTTTCATGACCACCATCTCCAATTAATAAAGGTATTTGATTAATAACAATTGTTAATAATGAATCAAAATTTGTATTTAAATCAAAAGAAAAATAATAATTATTAATTTCAATAATATTCTTATTAGTTGCTTTAGTTAAAATAATATACCATGCATGTGCAAGTGAACAACGTACAACATCACCAAGTGAATATTGTGTAAGTTGAATAAAATTTTTTGTAAGATAATTATCTAATGGTGAAACTAAATCATATTGAATAAGTGTTGCAAGAAAATCAATAAGACTTGCTTGAATATATTCATTATTATTATTATGAACATATTTTTCAATAATAGATTGTAAAAATTTCTTTGTAAACCATGAAGGATATTGATTATAATGAAAATTTTTTATTAATTGAATTAAAAAATGAAAAACACAATCTTGATTATCCCATTGTAATAGTTTATCATTATCTTGAAAAAGTATTCTTTCTAAAATAGTATAAATTGATTCAAGATTATTTATTTTATTTGTTGTATTAAGTATTAAATTAAATAATGATTGATAAACTATAGTTATTCTCTTTTTATTTTTTATATGATTTATAATAATATCATATAGATTATTATTATTTATTATTAAATTAAATTCTTTTAATTTTTCAAAACATTTTATAAGTTGTGCTAAATTTTTATCATGATTATTTTCTTTAGTTAACATCATAATAATTGTTGATGAATAAAAATCAAGTTTATAAATAAATGAATTTGAATTACTGATAAATGGTTGAATAGTATCAAGAATAATTGATGCAAGATTTATTGATTGAATATTTCTTTCATATAATTGACAACATATAGATTCTGTTAATTCATTAAATTCATCTTGTTCATTAACTAAAACTATACGATATAAATTTAATTTTGAAGAACAAAACAAAACTTGTGCTCGACTCCTCTATCTTACGAGGGAATCTCTCCAAGTGTTAATCGCCGATCGAGCTCATATTTTACCCATAAGTAAGACTCGATGAGACACTAGCAGAAACTCGGAAGGTTTCGTCCCCATACGATGTTCTTTCGAAGTTACGACCATTTTACTGATTTTTCGACCTCTAGCAATGGCATTTATAGGAAGGCCCAACAATGAAATTTTGTCCATAAACAAGTCCTATGGTCACTCGAATATCCTAAAAGTTTCAGCTAAAATACGAGATATTGAGTTTCCAAAAAGCTCGATTTTCAGCCCTTTGCCTTTGAAATATGATCGTTTCTTGAAAATTCAATATCTTGAGAAAGAAATGTTCATTTTAGCTGAAGCTTTTAGGACATTCTAGTGACCATGAGACCTGTTTATGGACAAAATTTTAGGTAAAAAAAAACCAGTAAAACAGTCGTAATTCCGGAAGGACAGCATATGGGGACGAATATTTTCCGGGCTTCTGTTAGTTTCATCGAATCTTACTTATGAGCTCGATCGGCGATTAACACTTGGAGAGGTTCCCTCGTTAGACACAGAGAGAAGAAGGAGTGAAAGTATATCGACAGTTTAGCAAATGACTGTAGCTAACTAATTGAAGACACACAGTGCCTTCTTGCAATTCGTCATATTGAAAGACGACTCTAACATGATCATAGGCTATAAATGACATAACTACAATTAGGTTGATCGCAAAGATGAAATATTTTGATATTCACATCTTGAGAGAGAGTGGGAGAAATGCTCTTAAAAGAGATAAAAATAATAAATTGAAAGAACTTACTATTTTGGTCATTTTCATCAATTTCTTCAATATCTGTTTCTTTCATATAAAGAAATAGAGCTTTGAGGCAAGCAATTAATTTATTACTTGATTGATGATATTCATAACGAGATGAAATAATTGTTAAAAGCATATAAACATAATCGGATAAAGATTTTTCTAGAATACGATTTAAATAATATATAAGATGATCTTCATTGATTGTATATCGAGCTGTTTTTAAAACAAAAGCACGTATTGCTGTACTA